TGGGCAGGATTCAGCACGCACAAAATTACACGCAAAAAGTCTTAAATTACACTTGGATAGTTTTCTGTACTTCCGTTAGAGACCTCTGTTCATAAAACTTGTTGTCTTGTGACAGTCCAGCCACTTCTATTCTTTTAAGAAGAGTAATTCAAGAATATTAAAATAATTGTCATTTAGTACGTTAGTTCCATAAAACTAAAGTAGTCACACAAAGAGAAACAGAACCATACGTATGCTATTTCAGCTTATGAAATGCTGGCTATGATGCTTGGTCTCTGCAGTTCCCATTCAAATAAATACCTAAATGAGAAGGCTCTATTTTACTTATTATATCGACTTTGTCAGGAAAGTCTTTCATGATGACCCAGCAAAAACGAGGCACACTGTCTGTTAAAATCTCTATCATCAGATCAGCAAGAGAAACCACAGCAAATATTTGAGCATGGGGTCAGCCCACTTCCTGCGTTTTACCCGTAGTTGCAGGAGGTGGTGAGGGTGCTGCCAATTTTACTGGTATAGTCCGTTTCCCAGACTTCTGAATGAGTCTGTGCTGACTTGGATCTGCTCATCTGCTTCCACAGAACTCTTATGAGAGACTCCGTATCTGGCCTTTAAATGAACGGAAAGACGTTTTTGTTTTGCAGATGAAAACATTTTGTGATAGAAATGCTGCGCATGACCGTGGAGACCTCTGACAAAGCCAGCTGGCTACTGGGAAGATGGAAAATCAACGACTGCACAAGTCTGGCTGCTTGTTTCACAACTGTCGAGCTGTTAGGCAATAGCAATATGGTTATTGCATATTAATAGAATATAACACTAATTAAAGCTTATTCCAGCTAAAAGCCTAGCAAATAATCTAATTTCTGATTTCTAAAAGCTTGCACATTTAAATAGCTAATGGATGTTTATGATATTTAGTAAGTTATTAAGATTTGAACTGCGATACAAATTTACACAATCCAGTCAGTAATCTACACTTAAAAAGTGCTTTTGGTACAAAAGGAATCAGTACGGTCTCCAGGGTAAATATTTTAAATGCGGGATACATTCTCCTCCTTCACTACAGATGCTTTCTGCCACACCAGCCATTTTTATGGTCAAAATGTATGCAACTTCTTTAGAAGAAAACACTTCCAAAACAGGGATTAAGAGAGCTCTTCTCCATGTCTGGAGGAACACAGTCCTCTTCGCTGACCACACTGTAGGCGGAGGTTGCTATGAGTTTGGTTATCAGTGAGTCTGGGATGGGGAGCCCACAGCTCATAAACAGGAAACAGCCCACAACTCATTTTAAATTCCAATAAATATTTCGTCGTTTTACTGCCTTTGGGACAGCGTTAGTGTGTGAGCCAGGACAAGATGTATGAAACTTCTATTTGCCCCTCAGAAAAGCTAGCTGAGCTCGACAGCTCAGCTTGTACGATGTCACCTCAGGGACCAGCAATACAAGTACGCATGCAAACAGACCTCCTAAATCCAGTCTGAAAGTTCAATATGGAAACTCAAACACAAGTGGCCTCACTCTCCACAGCTTCCTTGCCAAAACAAGAGGGGAAACAGTTTTAAGAGCTGATCACATACCCAAAGAAAACCAATACATATTTGCAACTGCACAGAGGCTTATTCTGTTTGTTTGTGTATATTTCAGGGGGAAAAGAGGGAAGGGAAGGGAAGGGAAGGGAAGGGTAGGGACGGGAAGGGAAGGGAAGGGAAGGGAGGGGAAGGGAAGGGAAGGGAAGGGTAGGGACGGGAAGGGAAGGGAAGGGAAGGGAAGGGAGGGGAAGGGAAGGGAAGGGAAGGGTAGGGACGGGAAGGGAAGGGAAGGGAAGGGTAGGGACGGGAAGGGAAGGGAAGGGAAGGGTAGGGACGGGAAGGGAAGGGAAGGGAAGGGTAGGGACGGGAAGGGAAGGGAAGGGAAGGGAGGGGAAGGGAAGGGAAGGGAAGGGAGGGGAAGGGAAGGGAAGGGAAGGGAAGGGAGGGGAAGGGAAGGGAAGGGAAGGGAAGGGTAGGGACGGGAAGGGAAGGGAAGGGAAGGGTAGGGACGGGAAGGGAAGGGAAGGGAAGGGTAGGGACGGGAAGGGAAGGGAAGGGAAGGGAGGGGAAGGGAAGGGAAGGGAAGGGAAGGGAAGGGTAGGGACGGGAAGGGAAGGGAAGGGAAGGGAAGGGAAGGGAAGGGAGGGGAAGGGAAGGGAAGGGAAGGGAGGGGAAGGGAAGGGAAGGGAAGGGAGGGGAAGGGAAGGGAAGGGAAGGGAAGGGAGGGGAAGGGAAGGGAAGGGAAGGGAGGGGAAGGGAAGGGAAGGGAAGGGAGGGGAAGGGAAGGGAAGGGAAGGGAAGGGTAGGGACGGGAAGGGAAGGGAAGGGAAGGGAAGGGTAGGGACGGGAAGGGAAGGGAAGGGAAGGGAGGGGAAGGGAAGGGAAGGGAAGGGAGGGGAAGGGAAGGGAAGGGAAGGGTAGGGACGGGAAGGGAAGGGAAGGGAAGGGAAGGGTAGGGACGGGAAGGGAAGGGAAGGGAAGGGTAGGGACGGGAAGGGAAGGGAAGGGAAGGGAGGGGAAGGGAAGGGAAGGGAAGGGTAGGGACGGGAAGGGAAGGGAAGGGAAGGGTAGGGACGGGAAGGGAAGGGAAGGGAAGGGTAGGGACGGGAAGGGAAGGGAAGGGAAGGGTAGGGACGGGAAGGGAAGGGAAGGGAAGGGTAGGGACGGGAAGGGAAGGGAAGGGAAGGGAGGGGAAGGGAAGGGAAGGGAAGGGTAGGGACGGGAAGGGAAGGGAAGGGAAGGGTAGGGACGGGAAGGGAAGGGAAGGGAAGGGTAGGGACGGGAAGGGAAGGGAAGGGAAGGGAAGGGTAGGGACGGGAAGGGAAGGGAAGGGAAGGGAAAATTCGTCTGCGCAGATAACATCTTTCACGGAAATAGTCCCTCATCCTTGTTATCAGCTGAGCTCTGTTAGACACAGCCCATGGGGAAATATGTAGGTGTTAAAATTGGGAATTAACTTACTAAATCAACTGATTCTTGCAGCATTGGGTGTTGGCCCAGCTTGGGACAGACCTTGGAGCAGCACTAATGGTTGAGAAGTTGGGCTGTGACCAGAACTGGCTTGAAATAGTCTGAAAAAGCCTTAAATAAATGTGAGGGCTTTCGTTAGCTTCTGTTTTCCACGGTTAATACTGCCTTTTATTGGTTGGCATTGAGGCATGCTTTCTGGTGGTTTTTCAGCCTCTACCTCTTACTGTTGTTCCTGTACTGAGTGCTCCGGTGTCCAGGTGCATGTGCTTAACCCAAATTTATGAGAAATTTATGGAATTAAAGATAGTGCTCACTGCAGTAGGGGTTGAAGCTCCATGACAGTGCTCTCCTTCCTTCCCTTCTGGGCCTGTGTTTCTGTTTTCTGAACTGCCACAAACTGTGTTTCCATCGAGTAAAAACAAGCAGAAGCTGCATGTGTGTGTGTGTACTTGGTACCTGTAAAATACCTTCCCATTGGAAACATCTGAAATGAGTCATGTTTTCTCCTCCTGGCACCTATGTTATCGACTACTCAGGTCAGTGAGTGAGAACGTGAAAGTGAAAATGCAATTATTTGATTAAAAAAAGCTAGTGATACTTTTTTGTGAAGTAATGACCACAATCATGAGGATCATCAAGAAATGTAATATAGATGAAGCAGTCTAGGAGCAGAAATAGGGGGGGGGCTGACCCCCTTTTGAAACCACTGTATTTATGCTTCTGGTTGCCTTTCCAAGATTTAAGAGCCTCAAGAAGCCAAAACCCTTTACAAAGCCTCGTTCGGGGGTTTGCTGGGTTTTATTCGGAATTTCGGGCTTTGTTTTGTAGACGTGACC